ATCATAACCAATCAGAATGCTGCTAAGGTGGACTTCCAAAATAAGATGGACGGGATCAAGTCCTACATGCGTTTTCACAAGATTCCGCAACATCTTCAGCAGCGAGTTATTAAATGGTTTGACTATCTGTGGATGAACAAAAAGCATCCAGACGAAGAGGAACTCTTGCAGTCATTGCCGGATAAATTGAGGGCAGAGTTGGCGATCCACGTTCATCTCGATTCGCTGAGAAAGGTCGAGATATTTCAAGATTGTGAAGCAGGATTTCTTAGCGAGCTGGTCTTGCGTCTCCGTCCTCAGTTGTTCTCTCCAGGTAATTTACTTCCTTTTCATTGGCCGAGAGCCCACCAGCTCACAATAAACTGCTCATGCGTTGTACATGTTAATTGCGTTTCGCTGCAAATGATCCTCGGCTCATGCGTAGTTGCACCAAGGATGAGTTGTTAGTTAGTGATTTCCGCGAAAATAATTATGAAAATTAAACTTTAAAAATTAAACTTTATTATCAAATGGTAAAACCATGTGAATTCGTCTGGTTTGCACGTTTTTGTACTCCTGGCACCGGTTGTTCGAAGGATGGATAACGCCATTCGCAAGATAAATTTCTATCCTGTGGATTGCGCAGTACGTTTTTCTATCACTTATCCGCTGGATAGGGATTTATCTGTTGGATGGGGTTATCCGCTCTTCCAACAACCGGGGCCTAGGGCCCGTTTCTCGAAAGTCCCGGTAACTTAACGAGCCCGAAGTCATGTTTTAAAATCAAAATTTAAAGGATAGGAAATCGGTTTCTGGCACATAAACCAGTCCTTTTTGTTTCTTTAGCTGATAGTTTTATTGTATCATTCTCAAAAATTTTTAAATCCCCATCTTGAATGAAAACAGAACAGCTTTACGGGCCCGTTAAGTTACCGGGACTTTCGAGAAACGTCCCCATGCAGTGTAAGATTTGTGAGTTTTTGACTTAAAGGAATTCATCTAAAAGGAACAGGGTAAAACCATGTAAATTCGTCTGTTTTCCATGTTTTCGCACTCCTGAAGTATAAGATTTGCAAGTTTTTGACTAAAAGAAATTCATCTAAAAAGGAGCAGGAGTCAGCACCATTCCCCTCGAGCCGCGCCTCCGCTCTGAAAAACTGATGTTCCTTCTAAGAGCAGACCTCTCTCAACAGAACTGCACCGCAATAACACAAAAATCTTACACTTCGGGTATGCAAAAAGCTATATGGCATGAAATATTTTCCACTGCTAGATACTTCATTTACCGGACTTTCTCGCTGGATGAATAACAGCTGGCCTACACACCCAAAGAAATTTGTAACTGCGATCCCTAAACTTTGAAAAATCCTTCCAATCCCCCTATTTATTCCGAATTCTGAACTGCTTCCTTTTTCTCCAGGAGATTACGTCTGTAGGAAAGGTGAGGTTGGCCGAGAAATGTACATCGTGAATAGGGGCAAGCTTGAGGTGGTGTCAGAGACAGGAACCAAAGTGTACGCTGTGTTAGAGGCCGGTAGCTACTTCGGCGATATAAGCGTTTTGTGCATGAGTGCTGCCGGAAATCGTCGAACAGCCTCGGTCCGCTCTGTCGGCTATTCGGAGTTATTTTGCTTGTCTAAAAACGATCTGATGGAGGTGCTCGACGAGTACTCGGAAATAAAGACGAAAATCGAGAATATTGCTAAGAAACGTCTGGAGAATGACAAACGAAGGACCAGCGCATTGCTTTCGAACAAACATGATAAAAACAGAGCAAGTGAAAACGGAACTGATACGGATCCAAGAGTGAAGAGCAAAGTTTTTGCTAAATTGGAAGAAAGGATAACGACCCTAGAGAGGGAACGCGCAGATTTGATGGAGGAAATTAAACGACAAAGAGAAGAATTTTCCGACAGACTGGCAGACTTGGAAACATCCATGGCACAGCTGTCTCGGGATCGCCGAGGTGACGGACAAAGACCAACTTCCAGATCTTTTGATTTTGTTTGGAAGAGAAGATGACTAAACGTGATTGCTGAATTTCGAGGTACTTTGACGCTGGCGTTCAAGTACTGTTTTTAAATTTGCTCAAATGCACCATGTTGAACTTACCTTGAATGAGGAAAAGGTTGGTAAATTATACCAGCATCGGCAAATGGTATGCGTCGGCGTGGTAGATAGGGTCACGTCAAAAGACATCCTCACCCATATGGTACTGACAACAAAGCACACTCCAGGAGAATTATGGGCACTTTCTGTTCATAGCGACCTTAGGTAGTCAGAAGAAGCCGAAGAAAACGTAGGTTAAAAAAATGAATTTATCCTTTTTGTTAGAATTTTCTAAATGGCAGGATGTTTAACTGTCTCTTATGGCGGCGCACTTCAACTTGAGCCTAACGTATGCTAGCAGTGTTCAGTTCCAAATGAAAAATTTGAACAACTTGAACAATTTGCCGTCAGCCGTAGTTTCTGTGCTCAGACCAAGCCAATTAAAATGATATCACGTTGTTGCTTTGCAGAGGACGGCTCTGAAATTTACAAAGTTTTAAAACGCACGCGCTGAGCTATCGTTCGGCTCATTTGATCTTTTGTCAGTTTTTCCACGTCCTCGACTCGTTGTTGTCGCCGTCGCTGCTTGCTTAAGGTCCCTATACGAATACATTTCGACTTTGGACTGACATTAGCTTATCCTCTTGTAAAAAAAAAAACTAACACTCGTAGGAAAGAATGCCGTGCGCTCTGAAGACTGTCACCGAAAAAAAAAAAAAAAAAACTCGGTAGAACTACAACAGAAGGAGAAGCTAAATGCCGCTGCAACTTGATTTTCTTTTTCTCCACGTGCTTGTTTGATGCGTTCGCAAAACACATCCAGTGTAATAAGTAAGAACTTCAAAAACGTTTCCAAGTAGACGCCAGATATTAGCTAGCTGTAGCCTTTCTTCTTCTTAGCGTCATTTCATTTTATATACATGGTTATAAAAAGAATACAGTCAGTTCTTGATGATAAATCGTTTAAAAGAACCAAATTTAATAGAATATTTAAGTAATTTCATAGTCGTTTAAGACGTTCTATACAGCATGAGTATGTAGCTTGTTCCGGTACATATTAATCAGAAAAAAAGAAGCAAAGCGCTTTTAAAGGTTCCCTTATTTTTTCTCTTTGTCGTATGCTTTGACTCCAAACTCTTTCATTTCTTGATACATACATACATATATTGGTTAATTGACCACTCCCGATAGGGGCTTTTCAGGGCCAACACCCACCCAGGGGAGGACATCCACCACACAGTAATCTCGTGCGTGGGAAATTAACGTCTCCTACCCCTAACCCTGCCGGAGACGGGGCCTACGGTTTATTCGTCCTTATCTGAGAAGAATAGAATATCTATCCATTTCTTGATTATAGAAAGGTAGCAAATTCTTCTCACTTCTTTTAAGACCATGAGTATTGGTCCGGCCGGGGCACGAACCCTCGACCTCCCGCACAACACAATCCAGCGCTCCAACCAATTGAGCTAACCGGGCGGTTGTCTAGAGTATTTCTGGAATTATAGCAGACTATAAATTTGATGAGAATTGCCTCTTCTTTATACACAAGCGCTGCTGTAGAGCACACAAAAGTGAAGAAAGTTATTTGTGGATAATTATGAAATTCTCCCACTAGAAGCTATTTGAAGAAAATCTTTGCATTTGAACTTACCTCATAAAGGTAGTCGCTGTCAATTGTAAAGGCTGAAAAGCAGGAATTTTCAGTCGTTCTCGACATAACTCATTCAAAGCTAGCACAAAATAATCTTTGTTTACTACAATATATTATAGGCTTTAATAAAGTTGATAAAGTTGCATTCTTTTGATTTGAATTTTGAGTATTTCCTAGAAAAGCTTAAGAACTATTCAGCACGTGACTTCGTTATTTTCCAGCACTCCCTACTCGCAATTGTTGGATTACGCGCGTGTGGACTTAAGACTACAAGGAAAAAGAATCCGCGAGATGTGTTTGGTAATATGTGACTCATGACAAGTGGTTATGTCACTTTTATTTGTTTGTCTATTTTTTCTACCACACTCGATATCAAACAGTTATGATCCATTAAAAACTGCGACTTGCTTTAAGTTTTTTTTATTCGTCCCTCCAAGATGATTCATTTCTTAACATTAAAACCTTATAATAGTTCAACATTTTATTTGTCCAACATGAAATATTTTACATCTGGTAATGAGCACACAGCCTATCTTATTGTCGGCACAAGCGGTCGCCAGAAACGTTTTACTTCTATTCATTTGACACTACAAACATTAACATAAGAAACAAGTTATTAGTCATCGCAGGGGTGGGGGGAAGGGGAGATTTTTTGAGGGGAGCACATGGTTTTCAGGTGGAACGGAGAGGGGATCTGTAGTCTCCAATAGTGTACAATGGGGTAAAATAAAAAATTGACTATCAATTAACTGCCATAAGGCGGGAGGGGAGGGGGGAGGGAGGTGTAATAAGATTAATTACAAAGCCTTATGAGTAGATCAGATTAATATTAACCTGACACAGCCAGAATCTCCTGACCCTCCCCCCCTCGTAATCGATAAATTGTGACCGGCTCCTGACTTCGTTCAAATTAATTGATTTATTAATCGATAGATTATTTCAAAAACAGCTTTGATGCTGCAGCGATAGTTGATTTTTTACATAAAATATATTACATTGCATAATCTACGAACATGCAAGAAATTTTCCCTCGTAAGCTAGATGATTAACTTACGAGCCCAAAATACGGCTTCGAACAAAGCTACATGAACGTTACGGTATCTGAAAACTCTGCACCTACCCTCCCCCCCACCTTTAACCCAACATTAACCATTAGTTGTTATCAAGTTGACTGCTGTTGTTTTAGGGGAGGGGTAGGTGTGGAGTTGCTTGATTAATGACATTGATTCGTATTTTTTTTACCAAAACGTCTCTCGTATGTAGTCAACCTCGTTCTCAGGGCCTGTTCCCTTAATTGAAAGGCCTTGGAAACGAAGTTGGTATGTAAAGAAAAACATCTAGAATTATCCAAAACCGTTTCCTCTCACTTCGTGTTTAAGCTGGTAAAAATATCGTATTGTTAAATAATATCGTAATCTCAGTTGTGTCTTTTTACCAGCAAAATTCTACAAAATGTGAATAAATTACTTTACCAACTTCTGTTGTTGTCCAGACTACAATAGTATCATTTTCAAACAAACCGAGTAACATTATTTCATCCACAGAGGTAAAAATTTTTAAACCCCGTAAAATTCAAGTTTCAAGTCAAAGAATCCATTTTGACTTTGATATGATTTCATCATTCATTGTCATATCACCAAATTTACTACAAGAACTTCTTTATAATTTCTAATATGCAATATGATGCATGTTCAGCAGATACTGAACATTTCCGGGAAAATATCATTCAAGTTTAAACTACGACTAATAAAATCTTAGTGGTATACAGTTAAATAGCCCATTTTCGAATTACCTTCAGCCTCTTTTTCAAAAGCGAGTCCTGGTGCTTATCTTTTCATGTGGTAACACGTTTTCTTATATCGCTTTCAGCGCCCGTGGGCAAGATGGTGCGAATCCTGTGTCCTTATTGGCTACCCGAGCGGGCAAGATGGGCCCATCTTGCCCACTCGGGATTGCCCGCATTGATCCCGTGCATGAAAAAATTGAATTAGAACAACGGTCATAATTCTTGAACAATGTCAGCGATGGAATCGCAAAAAGCGGCTGAAGATAGTCAAAACCAAGAAAACCGGAACGACTCTCGTGAGTTTGTTGTCCTACAAACACAGTTGGCTTTCTTACCCGGCTCTCGAACTAAACAAGTCATTCTTAATTCTTGAAATAGCGAAATACGCTTGCAATATAATAAATCCTTTATTAACCAAGCTTGTTCGGTCAAGATGGCTGGATATTAGCCTCGTTCTTTTTTCGCATTTTTAGGGACCTCGACTTCGTCTCGGTCCATAAAAATGCGCCAAAAGGACTCGGCCAATGTCCAGCCATCTTGACCTCACGCTTGGTTAATTAACGGATATTTCATTTACATGCAAATTAAACTCATTCTCGCAATAATGGTTGAGCACCACGCCTCGTTTTGAAAAGGAGGTCGAGGGTCATTCAGAAATGGCCTGTTTTTTTTTTCCTCAACACCACCCAAAATATCTAATTGCTCAGGATTGCGGGCGTGTAAGGGTAATCCGACCTCACAGATCGAGGTGGTATCCCATGATGCATTGCAGCCTGCATGTCCACGAACTCCTCGAGCACATCCGGATAAAACCTGTCATTGGTGCTGCCCCTGACTCCCGACAGAGGATACATGGCGTTTGTCGTTATTGCAGTCGTTGGAAACATGTAACTGGAAGGATAGCTTCGTTCCGAGAGAGGGTACTGAGAATAATGCTTCATATGGTCCATTGGAGAGATCCCTCTGTAATCATAGGCCGCCATGTTGGCTGAAGGATTCATAACTGCGTAGTTGGAGTCCGCCATGCCGGTTTTAGACCGACCAGCGGCATATGCAGTTCCATCTGTCGCATAACTAGTCGACATGTCAAAGTCTCCCATGGCAATTCCCCCGTCACTCCCGCCGGTCGGGGCAAAGCTGTTCCCATGACTCATAGAGGGCATCAAGCTACCCTGGCTAGGCCCATAACCGTACCTTGCTCCATAGGCTTCAGGCGATGGATACAGGAAGTGGCCCTGTTCCGCCATCATGGGGTATTTCCCTATATTGTTGTTGTTGTTGTTGTTGTTTGTTGGTGTGGTAGGCGTCATCGGCATCATGGGATGGGGTGACATGTCGTGATACGAAGAACGCATCATAGCGGGCGGTACTGGACTTCTTTGAGGAGGCAATTCTCTGGAGCCTCTGTGAGAACCGATTGAAGAAGAACTTGAATGTCTTCGACAAGCAGTCTTCATCGCAACAGTGGACCTCGGCCCAACGACCTCAATTTCCATGCTTTCGCTCGTAGAATCTGCGACAAAAAAGTTATTCGATTTGTTAGTTCTCTCTTTTAAACTTTTTCATAGCTATGAATTACTCACAACATCATTGACATTGTTTATAACTCTGTTTTAAATGAGGTTTGTGGCAATATTTTACGTTACACTTTAAGCATTGAAAATGGAAAGGGACTAGAATGGATAAAGGGATGATATGAACGAAAAAATTGGGGAACTGAAATATGACGGACTGAAAACAGAATTGTGGAACATTTTTTGAAGATACCTAAACCTTCACTTGGCTAATCTTGGATTAAAGGGGGTAACTAACTCGTTCAGCATAAACTCAGTTTATGCTGAACGAGTTAGTTACCCAACACCAACCTTCTAGAACGTTGGTCTCCTTGGCACCGCGAACAGAGGATTGGACCGAAAGTTCATCCACATTGTTGTGGTTTTCAACCGTGTAAAGGATGTAATCCTCTAGGAGCATGTGCAGTAAGTGAAATGAGCCTGCAATAGATCAACAACGGGTCAGTTAAAACGATCGTACCCGTGGCTTTAAAACTTGTATGCAAGCAAAAATGTTAAGGTCTGAAGCAGCAGGACCATCTTAATTGTGTATAGAAAAGTCTCACCGAAGCTGTGAGCGCTGTGCAATGTCAGTTCCCGCACAATTTTTATGCTGAAAAAGGACCATTTGAGAAGGAAATCTTTTGAGCACTCCTTGTAAGTTTTTCCTGTCTCCTCCACTTGCTGAAAGGAAGAGAGATAATTCGAACTTTGAGGGAATGTTAAAATATTGCTCAGTACAAAGTTAGACGGGTTAAGGGACCAGACATTATTAACCAACTGGTTAAAATCCAGAACCCCCGCCTGACAGAGCCTATACTGGGTTCAGTGCTTCAGCGCTTGTTATTCCTTTTCAAACATATTTCAAATTTCTCTTACAGTTTGGTGGCACCTATACCCTGGGTGGATAGAGGTTGTGGAAATTAATTATCCTAACCTGGGACTCAACAAATGGCAAAAGCCCGAAGATGAACCTTTCGAGTTCAGCGCATTATAAATATTTTGAGAAACACCCTTCGCTTTTTCATCATTAGAGTGTTTTGATAAATGATTCATGCCATGCATCTGAAAAATCAACTCTCAAAGAGAATATCACACCTTGTGCATTTGCCTGAGAGGACCTTACGTTAGTACGGCCACTATACATGTACTGTATTTACCTTCATAACACAGCGGTTAACCAAGCTAGACGCCCATTCGGCATACTGATCTATGGTTGCTTGCTGATCGAGAAGCTGCGTAAACTCTTTATAGTCTGCAAATTTGAGTAAACCAGTAAAATCTTGTTAATAAGACTAAACTTACTGCGTCAGATTTAAAGTGCAAGGAAAACAATTCAAATTAGTTTTTCGCTCACACTTACGCTCATAAACTAATTCATAATCGTCCTTTGCCGATTCGCTGAAGGTCCACATGGCCTGACGGGCTATTCCTTCGAAGTCAATTTGCTTCCAATCGTTTAGCATCTGGGATACAGGCTCTGCGCTGTGCAATACTGTTCGAGCAGCCTGGCAATAAACGAAGAGGACATTTTTAAAAACTAAGCGACAAATTAAAGCAACCATAAATTCAAGAGATCACATCATATGGAACGGTAAGTTACATTTGTTTCAAGTCTCAAAGTGGTTCAATTTTTTTTTACTTTGTTTCGTTGATGTTGCTCTGTTGTTTTCCCACTTTTTTGACTGCCCCGATTTTTTCAAGAAATTTAACAATTTATCCAGTAGGTGAAGAGAGTAAAAAAATGGCCATTCAATCAAATAAAGATACGTATTTTATCACGTCATATTTTCGCCCGGCTAAGAGCAGTCTTGAGAAGAACTAGTATCGGTGAAATCATGAAGCACGAACGGCTGTTCCCCGGAGGCAAACCACTGTCATCCAATAGTCATCCGATTCCAGTTGTTTACTGTAAAACAATGATAGCTTTGTTTTTCTAACCTGTGCAAGATGTGTTAAAGACGTCTGCCTCCTTAGAGAGTGGGAGAAACTCTTAGCAACTGAAAAAAACGGCACGGTAAAGGAAAATGATTATGGCGTCCTATTCACAGGCGTGATGCTGGTATCTTATTCGTAGCAAAATACTTAAATATCACGCTTTCTCACCTGCCAATTTTTTGTTCTGTAATGGTTCTGGCAAATGAGCCAGAGATTCAGTCAACCACTCGTCCAGCTGTTGTGCAAACTGACGGATTGCTTGAGTCAAACTGCAATCAAATAATCATATCTACTCAGTAAAAAAAAGATCTCAGTAACAGAACGAAACTATAACCTGATAAGAAAAGCTTAATTTTTTGAGATAAAAAGCGCTGGTAGTGAATTGTCTCTAAAATCGCGGCTTAGCAATTTTGTGCAAAAAGGCAATAAAATCCAATGACTGAAACGCAACAAGGTGGCGTCTGGCAATAAAAGGGCGCGAAAATAGAGGCCTCAACTTCAAAATAAGACATTTATATTTTTGACATAAAAGAAGGAATTCGAATGTAAGCAACTGAAGAGAGTAAAAGGAGAGAAAGAGAAAAAAGGAGAATTCGAAAGGAAGGAACATGTGCAAAAGTTTGGGCTGTGGTTGATTTTGAAATCTCTATCATTTATATATGTACTTAATTATTTTGCACAATGACAAACGATCGTACCTTGCTGGTAAAGGCTGAAGAGTTCCGGGAATTAAGACTCCGCTGATAGCTTTGTATAGGATGGTGTCACACTGACCAATTAGGTCTACAACTTCGCTGCAACTGAGCACTTCCAGCATGTGACTTGGCATACCTTGCCAAAAGTGAACTAAGAAATTCTGCACCTAAGAATTCAAATGGCAAGTTACCATTAACGAGGAATTCTCTTGCCCTCAACTTAACAAAGATTTTGGCCCGGTGAGATGGCGTGGTTATCAAAAGTAAACAAAGAAATAAATAGATAAACAAATGAACAAAAAATAAATAAATTCAATCAGGTCTTCAAGTAATTTAACACTCTCTATGTCATTAAGCAACTTACCTCTCCAAAGTTTGCTCTCAGGATGGTGTCTAGAATTCTTTGGCAGTGTGCACGGTACATGATGAGAAACGTTTTGACCTGTGAAAAAAAAAATATCGTTTGAGTCCATTTTAAGCCTTCGAAAAGAGTGTCAGAGGCCAAAGTATCAGAGGCTCATTAATTGCCGGGTTTACCTAAGGATCCCAAGGGAGGGGGTGGAGAGGGAGATCGGAGGAGCTTGGTTGCGTTTTTTACTCTGTTAGCGACAAATGACCCCCCTCCCCTCCCCATAAAAACCGAGTGATCCCCACCACTCCCGAGATAAATTATTCTGTTCTCTTAAATTTCTCAATTACTAATCTAAGAAATGTTTACCGTACCATTGGTATAGGTAATCGCATGGGGCCGAGTAAAATTAATGATTAATATCACGCGCGCGTCGACGAGGGCAATTTCTGCAACTTCGAAAACACAAGTGATATTAATCCTTAATTTTACGAGGAACCATGTGATTACTTGTTTATAATATAAGGGGAAAAATGTTTTCTCACTGATCTCGCGCTAAACGGGACGCCATTGTTACAAAACAAAGAGAAATTTCTTTACCTTGGCAGCCGTTGCTAAGCGATTTTCAGCCAATCATTTTCAAGTAATTTTGCCCGGGGCAATTACAAAAATTAAGAAAAAATGCCCTCTGTCTTGAACAATCACAATTAAGTAATTTTGCCCCTTATATGATAAAAACTTTATTGCTATTTGTATCCTTAATAATCGAGCATATTCTCTCACTTTCTCCTGGGGAACGTCCTCCGGTAAGGTCAACTTGCTGGGCTTAGGGAAGTCAGGCAATAGCGTCCCTCCTGGCGCCGCGGTGACACACGAATTAGTCCCATGATTGCTCTTATGAATTGTATTTCCCTGACTTCTCTCATCTATGTCCGTTTTGCTGTATGATTGGCTAAAACTGAGAAAAAATATCAAATTCTAAGATTTTGTGCGGTAATCCCTGTTTTGGCTGATAAAGTTTTTTAAAAGAAAGATTTGGAGAGAGATTACGTAAGGGATCGAGCGGGGGGGGGGGGGAGGACTTTGGTGTGTCCCAATAAAATTTACCTCAGTGTTCCTCCCATAAGGCTCTGTAGTATCCTTATGACCCAGTCCCATCGGCAGGGAATTTCTACAGTCCTTCTTTTGATAGTCTGTTAGCGACGACTAATAATCTCTCCGTTTCCTCTGAAAATCAAGTGTTCCCCTTCAAAATCCTCTGCCTCCCCTCCCCCCCTGCTCCCGAGGTGAGGAATAATGACTGGTCTCTTAGTAAACTTCAACTCACTATACATCAAAGAATTGACAGCGAGTAGTGTAGCCAATTAGATTGCAGGGTTTTTTTGAGAGGACGCTGGTAGTATCATACTTCAGGGGTTTATTCAATGTTGAGCAGTCGACTTATTTTCCATGAACATGTCTTACCCGGTGTTACTTTGCCTTGCTGCATTGCAGACAGTGTCATGATATGGAGATGTTGATTTAATGGTGATTCCATAGTAGTGATACCTGGCAATAAACGAACGACTTTAAATTTTTTGTCATATGATAAACTAAATCCCACACGTATTTTGATTGGTTCTTACTTATTGTCTATTAGAGGATAGACGCATTGATGATGTCATCATTAACAACATTTTGCTTCTTTATCGCATAAACAAACATATTCCATGTTGCCGCGGGTTCGTTCACAGAAGATGTCAAAATGTGGTAAGAGCATCAATGACGAGCTCGGCAGCGCCTCGTGTGTCACGCTTTTGTTCTCACCGCATGTTGACGTCATCTGTGATCTGTCACTGGACAAACGCACGGCAACATTGAATCTGTTTGCAAATTAGACTGTTTTGTGGGAAATGCATGAAATTAAAGAACTGTTATGAATGAACAGTCTGGCTTTTCATCGTGTATTTTATGACAGCATTGCTGCATATAAACCCAAATTTTCATCATGAAAAATCAAAACAGGAATGTATTTATCGCAATTAAACATATCTTTCATTTTTGTGGTGACTTTGCATGCGATGACCGATCAATTGCGTGTTCTTCATTGTGATATAAATTTGGTTGCTGTCTCTAACTGAAAGTTTTTATAGCGATGAATCTTTCATTGTGTTATTCTTTTTTGTTTGGAACTTTTTGTTCCTCTCCTTTAAAAAATAAAACATTGCAGTGAACTCCTAAGCTAAATGAAAAATATTTCATCGACACCTTCTTTGGTTGCGAATAAAATTGGCTGACACAGTTCAAAGGAACAAAGCCTGGATACTTTCGGGAAAGGTTTTAGATGCGCTTGATCACACGTGCTTCTAACAAACGCCTAAGGGCTGTTTGGTTTTCTTCAGAGAGCAGAAGAATTTTTTTTCCTCACATTGAAACCTTTTTTCAAAGAGGCTAAGCAACTATCCATTGCTACAGAAAAACTACTTGAGATCATCAAAAGTTTTAAAGCGAAAAATCCCCCACGAATTCTGATGCCGGAAAACACTCAAAGCCGGCAACAAACGCCCACGCCTCGATTTGTCTTCAGGGCAGAAACGTTTTACATTGGAAGCCTAGGCAACCAGTTTTTTTTTTTTTTTAAAAATCAGACGTAATATTTGAAATCGTTCAGTAAAAGCTTTACACGGGAAACTGCCTATCACCGATTTCTACCAGGCTCTAGTAAACAAGTTACTCATCGCCCTATGTTTCATTTACCAAATAGAATAAAGATCGATAGCTTTTCAAACAAAAGGAGAGTAGCGTTTTTTGAAAACGATTCATTATCTTCGTCAATTGTTTAATGGAATGCTAACGAGCTATTCAGATACATACAATGGTCTGAACAAGTTAACGGGTTCAATTGTGTAGCCACGTGTTTGTTAAAAAGTTATAGGAAGATTACTTGATGTCTGTAAGATTAGGAGGTGTATATATATAAAAAGCAAAAAACAGAAAGACTTTCAAATTTTACACGAATACATGTTTCTAGTCAACTGCAACTTTTTGGGCCAGTTTGTCTCTTGTTTAATTTCTTTCTTCAAGTTGCTTTGTTTGGTTAATGTAGCATGCTGATTTTCCACTTCAAACGAAAAAAAAAAAAAAACGCAGGAGAAAGCATTTTATTATAACCTCTGAATAAGTAATTATTTCTTTTCTTTGTATTTAGCTTTCTTTCGGCATTTTATATACATAATCCTAAGTAGTTCCACAATCGGTTGATAACTTGTTATCGACCCCCCTGGGTAGGTTTATAACCTTCATATCTAACATTACCATAAGATTTTACTTACTTGGACTGACCACGTGTTCCAAGCCTTCTGGTCTTTAAATTCGGAAAGGTATGGCGAATTATCTATAAAAAGGAAAGAAGTGATAAACGAAATGTTTTTGTTCTTATTGATGTCCACCTACTTTGCATACGCTTATATGATGCACGAGTTGGTTTACATCAGCGAAAGATAAACGAAATGATTTTGTTCTTATTATTGTTGTCAAGGAGATTTTTCATTGCTTTGTCACAAACTTTGTGTTAGGCTTTTATTTGTGGGGGATGTTTATTGAAAGAAAAAAAAAAGCATTCCATACTTTGCCAAAACTAGCTGCATTAACTGGAGCTAAGTTATTCTTTTCACAAAAGTCCAAGTAATGGGAATATAGTGCGCTCCGAGGCAAACTGACTCCTTCAGAAACTTCGTAGTTTTCATTTAGCCTGCAGAGTAAAACAGAATGTAACGTCGGTATAAGTTTTCGGACCATGCACCCAAATTAAATTACATGAATATATATAACCGCACAAGGACTAAAACTGATCTATAAAAGAGCGCTAAGTTTCAAATTAACACACAAAACTGGCGGTACTAGCAAAATAAGAAGCCTGCAATGGTAAAATATTTAGTTATGTCTTAAACTCGTGCTCTAGAAACATGCAGTTTTATTCGTCTCTTGATTGTTACTGAAGCCGGTAAAGCGCATGGCTCTACGCTGCCTCTTAATGACTATAAGTTTCTTTTCCTATCCGAAAAGACGATGGCTTCGGTTTATAGAATTTTTATACATATCGTGCCAAAAGTGTTTCTATATTTGCTTACTTTTCAAAAGTTTCAAAATTATTTATTCTCTCGGTGGCAGACAATCAAAAGGTTGTGTACTCAATCCTGTGATGTTCAAATCGATTAAAACAATAAAGTTCAGTTTGTATGTTCACTGGTTGTTTTTCCCGTGTCACTGACCACAGTTACTTTAGGTGACCAACTTGAGGTCGTATTTCTAACAAACCACTGATATTTTATGTACATACCACTGAATTGTCAACGGCGATTGAAGTTTGCTATGCGACACATAGTGGCTGTTGGAATATATTGTTTGTTGACCTGCAAATAAAGTAGTTAGCGTTAAGTAAAAAACAGCAGGGGACAGTAAGACCGTAGATGCCTGGGAGCTACGATGCGGCTAAGATAAAAAAAAAAAACAACACTGAACAATATTGAATAATTCCAATTGTCCTGACAGGGGCAAGCTTTTAGGATTAGTGCTTTAAGTTAAAACTGTTACCCCTTTTATCACTCAACTTTAAATCTGGGTTTTCAATAGCGACACAAGCACAAACATAAGCACAAAACTCTGATTTTTCCGCGAAAACGGCTTTGACGCGAGCACAAGAAAAGAAAAAAATTCTGATCCTTGTATTTGCGCCTGATTAATTTTATGCTTGCGTCGAAGCCGTTTTCACAGTAAAATAAGATTGTTATGCTTATATGTTTGTGCTTAGTTTGCTAGTGAAAGCCAAGCTTAGCGTGGATATTTTGAGGTTAATCTGTCTTACATTCAACGACAAAAACAAAGTGAATGAAAGTACACACTAGAACGCACGAGAAAAAAAGCCAAGCAACCCTTCTGTTATTTAAAACGCGCTAGATTTCAAGACTCCGCCGAGAAGGCGCTAAATCTTTTATTCTTTCGCATCTTAGATGGCACGGATAGAGTCTTTAAAGTGTTAAAGGTGTGAGGATACCGCCAAATTCAAACTCTAATTCCATGTTCGTTGTGAGTTTGAGGTGTTTTTTCGGTCTTGTTGTTAGTTGTGTTGTTATGTAAATATCCACACATTAATACTCTAAAGAACCTGCTGGAATGGTGGAAATAAACGGTCACTTTAACGTTCAGTTCTATATCAACAGGGGACCAATCAAAAAACGTGTTTTAGGAAAAAAAAAAGCCAGCATTGCATTTCAACGTTTTTGCAAGGTGTGAAAACAGTATCCGCCCCTGTATGGCTTCTCTAGTTATTTGCGTGGCTTTTGTTGTCTTCTAAATTTTTCGTAATTAATTAAGCGTACACTATTTTAGTTGAGACTCTGCATTAAAACGTCGAAATCCCTTTTTAGAATGCTTATACATAAATATATTTAACTTCAATTAATCGAATGTAATAGTATCCTTGAGAAATTTCATAAAGATTACGGATTTAAATTCGGTTACATTTACTGAAGAGATTTGTTTCTGATTTTCAACTTTCTCGTGGTTTAATGCCAAGTTTCATGATTCGTAAAGAAAGCCGAAGAGAAATGACGGTAGATTGCAGTTAATTTGGCGGATCGAATATGTTTTCATCAGTGTAAGCTTTTTTTTATCATTATTTGAGATCGAAGGTAATCGATTTTAAAACGTGCGTTCTAACATTGGAAATACCAAATTTTAACACAAATGATAAACAAATCATCATTTTTTATATGTTAAAAAATTATCTTTTAAACAGTGCGGCGTCGCTGACTGTTTCTCACTTCTGTAAAGTTCAATATTTCTTGTACTAATGTCATTTTTTTCACGGAAATTTTGATGACATGTTAATTTCATATCCATTACACGCAGATTTTTTTAGATAAAGTTGCAAATGAACCTTATCGCGCTTCAGATTGATTTATGATTTTCGAGACAGTGAGTTGTATCAGTTAAGAGGCTCCAGGCCACATGCCTCTTTCTTATGAGAACAAAAGACGACCGAGGATAATTTTATAATATCTATTGTCTTTGAGGTTTCGCTTGGCTGCCCGCCAATCAGAAATCGAGCACTAATTAGTGGCACGCGCTATTCTTTACAAACGAGTTCGTAATTTACATTTTCGTCCGAGAGTGATTCTAAACAGAGCGAGTTTATTTGATCTTTTGGTCGTGTTTTATTAGTTACTGGGTGTCGAATCAACGCTAAATATCAGCAATAAGGGAAAAGTAAACTTGAAAGGTCAATTCTGCGAAGTATTTCGCGTAAAACTCCCACAGTGGAATGTTAGAAAGTTGAAAAGTTTGCCACAGACGGCAAATGGAGATTTGTTCCAAAAATCAATGAGCATTCCGTCTGGTATTGTTAGGAATTATCTCCTGAATTCTTCGATAAAAGTGATATTAGCTAAACAGTTGCCTTTTGAATAATTTGTTTATTAACTTAAAAAGAGAGTAACTTGTAAAAATCCTCGAAAAAACCTCGCATTTGCTGTCAAAGTAATGGAAAGTCTAAAATCCAGACCTCATTTTACCGGATATAAGTATATTTACACTCTCGAGTGTATATTTGTGCGCCTATCATCAAAATACACGCAATATAAGTTTGCTAGTTTCCAATTTTGTAAAGAAATTATCACCGGCTAAAGCGAAAGTCGATCTAACACTCAAATGAAAAAGTGAAATCTGCGGTGTCACAGTTGTTAGAGAGTGTAGTCCTCGCGTGATATACTGCGTACAACAGTAATCTGTAGAGCTATGCTGTTCAGGTAGTTAACAATTATTCCCTGCGAGTCATAGAAACCGCACAGAAACACGCATCTCAAACACCTAAAGAGTAAATCTGGATGCAGTTGCGTGCCTTAGGCACAACCATGTTGACAGAGCTCTGATTTATTCTATCTCGGCGATAATTGCAGCCTGCGTCGCTCAGAGAGTCTAATTACATAGCTACGCTCTGGTGGAAAAAAAAGGACAAATAATCTGAACCATTTCAACTCACCTGATCCTCGAGGCATTGTTTAGACCCTGATTCCACTTTGAGTTGCCTTTTCCAACGTCTGTCAGAAAATCAAGTTTGTTAGAACTGTTTTTGAGATCTCTCGCTGCAAATGCTGCTCTGATTAACTACTTGGTGTGAGTGCTGGTTTTGAACCCAAGTTTTTGTTTATACGCCGTCGTTGTTAACTAAAGTTTTGTAGTTTTTATACACCGCCCATGGATCGGCCGGGTCCCAATTAGCCACTAGCTGTCCTTATACACCAGAGTACAACTATCAAAAACGCCCAATGTGTGACAGTGAGAGTAGGGAACTACGACCGTGTCTTGGTTACAAGCTTCAGAGACAATAGGCTGCATTGTTTTAGGCCTAGCGTGGTTTGCTTAAGGCGCGTGTGTCAGAGACCATTGTCAATTGTCATTCACTTAATTGCTCTGTAGCTGTTAGATATACAACCATACATCGCGGCACGCGCAAACAATTAACTCAGACACTCGCCACGTGCCTAAGCGAGTATTGTTATAAACTCGAAGACATGATCCGCTTCTTGAAGTGGAATTGCATTAAGCGACTTAGATGTGCCGGAAGCAAACTAAAAATAACATTTTTGCTGTGCTCTAACAAAAGTTCTGTGCAGTTTTTGTTGTTTCTTTGGCCAGGGTGTCCGGTTTATTTTAACTTAATTTCCGTTTAATGACCGTTGAGTTTTTCAACTCCGCATTCAACAGCTGGTTAAGCGAATTTCTTTGTCTTTCTTTGTATGATGTAAAAGGATCAGGCACAGGTGTTCGCCATTAGCCAAACGTCTTCTCGTCTGTAGCAAACACGCTTGCTGTAAGATTACACGCGCGTGCTTACAGCACCGAACAACACGCTGTTAGAAATTCTGACTGTGTATGGCGCGACACATAGGCGCATCTTTTAATAAAATCTCTACTTGTTCCGTTTAAAAAATGAATAAAGAAAAGAGGACAAAACAAAAGTGCGACAAAGTTTTCAATGATACCAGAAAGGTAGCGCTTTGCCCAAGTTTAAACAAGACAATTTAGCTCGGACCGCGAGAGATTGGGACCGACAGGTTAAGGAGCCGCTGGTGCCCCTTGGCGACTTGTTTACAAAGAGGACCAAGGACTCTTTTGTTAGCTGCAGGAGTTAACAAGGGGAAAAAAAAGAACAGGAAGAAACGGTTAACGTTCGTTACGCTGCTGGAAGCCTAACAAGTTCGTTACTGTTTGTGAGTTCAAGAAACTGAACGTGGATGAGGGGAAAAATCATTGCGGCCATTATTTTCTTGGTCACCTTAATGGAAACATTTCCACCAATCACGGCCTATTCAGCGTAGGGCCCGTTTTATTTGCATATCAATATTGAGCATGGAATAATTTGTTTTTAATTTCTATACCGCCAAGCTTGTATTACCTATTGTATGTTAGAATTCAGAGAGTAGTATCTAGGCAATCGTGTATAAATCAGCTGGAACGCACGTGTTGATCAGCGAATGATCGCTAAGAAGCAACAGAATCTTTGATCGCGGAAGGGATAGAACGTTCAATCGGCTCATAACAAAACCGTCACATCAGTATGAAATAGATTTTTTGGATGCAATGAGTTAACACTTCGCCTTAAGGTTTGATCATCGATCGTTTTGTATTCCTAAAGCAGTCTAATCGTCGATTTAAAAGCGATGAAATGATCTCCTGCAAAAGCAAATATATCAATAGGCCAGTTTTGCACACATTTTCCTTTTGTACTCGGCAATAAACATGTAACAAAGTGTGAAAAGTCATTTACCAACTCGTTAACTTCACGCTGTTGCGAGCATTAACCATCGCGTCTCACAAAAAATAACGCAGAGACCCATCGTTGGTAATGAAAAAAATGAAACTTATCATTTCTTCCACTTTGTGCTGTAGTTTTGTTAGGAGATTGCCATCTTTAAAAGCTAGTCACAGGAAAATAAGGCGCCATTAGGTATCGAAAAACCATCATTGTGCGGTAAAATTAATTTTGAAAGGAAAGTCGCAAAGTTTAACGATGAATGTCATATTGAAAGGGAAACCAAGCCTTGTCTCTAGTTGACCAAATTGGCTTGATATTCATCAAGACTGGATCTTTATCTGCAAGACTTAGCTCAGATATATCAGTCGCTCACCAAAGAGAGAGCAGATAAAAACGTTGCTTCGTGTTTGCTAAAAAATTGTTTCTAGGGGTAAAAAAGCTGCGTTCAGGTGAAAAACTAAAACAAACAGGCAAATTATTAATAATAAATCTGAGCTTTCTGAGCGTGTCAAGTGATTTCAATATTATTGATTATTTATATAAGATATATGTATCAAAAACGTAAGACGTTTATAGAGTAGATTCAATGTTAAGCGACAGCCGCCAACCCATTGAAGGAAAGAACTTAAATCAAATTACTCATCCGTGTTCTTTCGCTATGAATTATCCGTTGTGGACATATCGTGAAAATTTAATTACGTCCCTATCATAAACATGAATTTTACTGTTAGTGGACTAAATTTCCGTCCCGATTTTATTCTAAGACAGGAGTTTATCAGAAAATAAAATCAAGACATGAAGTGATCTCCGCTACATATTTCTGTTAATCCGTTCCAAGAACCGAAAATTTTGATTTGAAAACTTTTCATGAAACATTGAGAAAAAAAGAGTAGTGTATCTATCTCAATATCGATTTGGATGTTCTAGCAAATTTGAAAAGTTCCGAAAGAAAGCTTTGCTCACTTCAAGTCTACGTCTTGGTTATTTCTGAAGATTGCAGAGTACACAGTACATGGAAATTTTTGAAATAGAGAACATTTGGAAAAATGGCATGAGTAAACTTGATTTCGGCATTCTGGGCATAATCAGAGCAATAAGCGGGGCTGTTTTGTACTGTAGTGCAGAACTTTGAAGCTGAATGACGCAGCAAAGCAATTGTTAGTAATCGAGGCCTTAAAGGTAAAAATAATTTTCCAAGTCACTGGAAATCCAGCACCGAATCGCACGCTCAGAAGCTCGGGATACAACTTAGGCTCTATCATCAAGAGATCAGTTTTAGGATGAACACGTAGACTTGCAGGGATTATATTTTCCTTCGTGGCGGCATGAAGAAGATGGAAAACGTCCATTTAACCCCAGACTTTAACTTAGAAATTTGCCCGCTGCAATCATTAATAAAGCTATACCACCGTTGGGGAGTTCACCCCTAAACTAAAACGATTGTCTAATCTGACTGCAAAACAAACCCGTAGCCCAGCAAAGGATGGATTCTTAGGAATAGAAAGTTAAAACACGGATCGTTCGCTGGCAAAATTCTATGGAAGCCAACAGAAATATGCCTTCTTTGATATTCCCATGCAACGAAAGGACGTGTAGAGATGGGAGGCAAAATGCTCGCGGTTTCCCTAAGTTACAAATCTTTTGGTGCCCAGTTGCCACTGAAAAACCCTCTTACCTTCCAGAATTTCCAACTTTCTGTGATGTCGAAAAAGTCTTGCCACCAAATCCTGAGATGTCCGTGCAGCAAGTTCACCGCCGCACAGTGTTCAAGTCACTGCTTAATGGAAAACATGAGTTGTTATTTTTAGGACCTTGTTTTGTGCCCTTCTTTTGTAATTCAAGTAAAACAATAAAATCTGGAGTTCTCATCGTGTATTTATTATTTTGATTGACAGTTAAAGTTTTCTTGCAGAAATAAAAGCATATTGGAGGCGTCCACCTTTGCGGTGACCGCGGTACACAATAGGTTGTTAATTTTACTTTTAGAAGTACATGCCACTCTTGAAGTTCAAATATCCATGGATATTTACTAAGACCTTGAACCTAGCGTAAGATATTCCTCTGTTTACGCATGTACATTTATTTATTACCTAATGCATCTGAGACTCACCATTCAACTTCCTCTAGTCGCGTTCCGACTCACTAACAAGCGAAATACAAAACTCCCTTACACGCTAGACATAAAATGCGACGTTCCAATTTGTCTTTTGCAATGTTTCCTCGTCGGCTACGCGCAAAAAAACTCTACTTTGATTATTTCGTTTATGGAAAGATGGAGACCTTCACCCGACTTATTTCCCTAATTTATTTTAATTTCGCGCAGGTTTCCCATCTTTCATTTTAGTTTCATAGTAAGATGTATGGTGTTTTCGTTTACATTCAAAATTCTGCGCATGCATATTTTGTCTGAAATTCTTCCCCCAGGCAAGTGAATAGATAATGGCCATGTGCTGACAAAATTAAAGTTTAATGTAAAACAATTGAGTGATCTACCCGTCTATAAGAAAAGAAAAGCCTTATTTCTCAAATCAGATACAGAGTTTCAACAATCGCATCAGGAGTTATGCTCAGTTACCGTATTTCACAAACGCATCAAAAATTGTCTTGTTCGTTATTGTATGGCCTTAGAGGACCGCGGTAATTTTATGTACCTAATATTTGGCTTTTGATCGCCGCATCGTTCCCAAGCAGGCTGTGTATCTTAGCAAGAAACCATGGATTCTAAAGACGCCCGCGAAAAATGTTGTTCGCTTTTTTCATTTAAAATTTAATAGAAAACTGAACGTGGAAAAAAATTGCAATTCAAACTGCGTTCTTGAGCTTTGTCTGCGGTCGGTTAGTATATGTAAAGACCAATTCGAGGACTTTTGTCCAACTTTTGGTTAAGAGAGTAAATTGTTGTTGTTTTGTACACAAACGTTAATCAAATCCATGCAGCTACTGAGCGACGTTTAGAAGTTATTTCAGAGGGGCATCGTTTTTTCCCACTTTAGCTCTGCTTAAGTCGATGATATATATTTGCGTCGATATTTCAGAGTAATTCCCTATGCTTTAGGAATGAATTGCCAAAGATTTAGAGTCGATTTGTCTCTTAGCTAAACACGTGTAGGAACGATAAGACTATTGTGAAGAACTTTCTTGACCGCAAATCTTCTTTTCGCCCTTTGTTCGAGAGTGAATTATATTCATAACTTTCCGTTATTTCCCCCCCGAGTTTAAGCCTTTATTGTGCCACTTACGGAAATGACCGTAAAACGAAGAATACGAACTGGAAAGCTGGTGTCGACTTTGCTAAACTTTGTGCTTTATTTCGGCGGAGTCTACGGAACCCTAGCTCATCTCAGAGCCATTAGTTTAACAATGCATGCTACTTAAATTTGCGTTTTTACTCATCTAGCGAAATCTGCGGACCAGGGGTGTTAGTAGATGGTTTTTTTGCTAATCGAATTCGCGTCTAGCTGATGTACGGCAAGGGTAATGCCGCCATTTTCAACAATCGACAGTGTTGACCAAGGTCTTTTCAGTGCTGACTGAAAAATCACTATTTTTGTCAATAAACCGTAGCTTGCTGTAATTAAAACATTGTTACCTTATTCAAAACGTTTTTACACCTTGGACAAATTTATCGTGCGATATTACTGCACGATACTTAACCCTCTTTCATCGCAGTAAGTTTTGAAACAGTTTTAAGAATACAGTGCTGCTTGACATGGGAAAGTTCACACTTGCTGGTAAAACTCTGTAATTTCAATGGTTTTGACAGTGAAAACCTTTGTCAAAGTTTAGTGACTCAATCAATGAACAATTGAACTGGAAATACAAATATTGCTTTGAAAAACGCCGGATGTTTGCTTTCATATAAAGTAATACAGTCATTGTGAAAATATCGTACCTCAAAGCTTTCGGAAATGAAAGAAGATGAGAGAAGATCACCACAAATTATGAAAGCACAGTCAAAGTCCCGCGTCCTGAGAAAATCTTTGCTTGTCGTCCAGAACTAACTTTTAATTATTTTCTAAGATATGTATTGTATGTGTTTTATTGGTTACAGGGCCCTCAAACCTAAGTAAATAGATAAAGCGCATTTGCCGCTTTTCAGATGGAATTAGTGTATCTGGCGAACATTAAACGTAAATAAAATAGACAAAAATCGCACTTTTTTGACGATGAACACTAGCTCCTCAAGCCAATTTACTGGGACCCTTTATTCATTTGTTTTGTTAAAAATTCAGAACAATATAAATCGTTGAAATTTTAAAGCCATGCGGTTGACTGGGAACATTGAAACAGCGATAGCCAATCGAGAGCAGAATTTACATTCCTTGCCAATATCTTAGTTCATTCTATGTACAAGTATTGTCACAAGGAATGAATGGAAAAATGGAATTTCAATTGCTGAAGTGAATTGTCTAATGAGCCTCTTTATTTCAGATTCCTAATAAAAGAAATGGTGACAGTTCTCACATAGAGAGCGCTCGTATCTTGGCAATATACTTTCCTTTTAACTGAAACCAGAAAATTAGCCAAGAATTTTGGGAATTCACATCATTGCAATTTGTGTAAATGGTACGACTTCCATAACCGATGGCTACAAAAACAGTGCCTGACTCACCAAAGCCTTTGTTTGAATCAGAATGACAGAATTTATTTGAATGTATTGCTTTGAAATAGTAGCAGTGCGGTAACCGTTGGGATTTTGGAAAAAAAATGTCGAAAGCAACATAATTTACCTTTTGAAATATGCTTTTTTCCCCTTTCGGTTGTTGTTTTGTTAGTCTTTTATAGCCACCCGGCGTTTCAAAAGTTTCGAGTCCGACTCTGCATTACGCATCTTTTTGCTTGAAATTATTGTGAGCATGACGGAACGAAGCGAAATTACAAGTTAGCAGAAATCTCGGTATTTTGGATACCAAATGTAATAGGTTATTATGATTACAGGGAAGTTTTTTAAAATTTCTCACTCAGTGAAACGAACTCTGCAACATTTCGTGCAGCCTAAGTCTTTTTGTCTTTGATACGAAGAACTACTGTTTTACAGCTGTAGATTACACAAAAGCAATATTGAGGTCTTCTGTACTGCTAGGGTTCGTCTACACTGAAAGACACTTTTACAATCGTTTGCGCGGTTTCAAAAAATCATCGAAGCATGTAACTCCGCCCGTCACTAGGCCAGCATCACAGTATCGATCTTGCGGCATTTCGACTTTGAAGTCACTCGTTCTACAGGTAGATTTAACAGGAGCATGATAAATGAAAGAAAAATAAGATTGATGCGTGTTTGGTCAGATGTACACTCTAAACAAAAAATACCTGTCTTGTACACTCAGCCTGTAAATTACACCACTGCATGGAAGACTTCACATGCACGTGTTTTTTTAAGCCCACACGAACCAGGTGTGTGGGCGAGTTGAACGATCGCTAATATGACAGAATTTCATGAAAATATAACTGGTTTGTATTTCAATAAATTGAGACGAACGCGGAAATATACTGATTGTTTGTGTTATCTAGACATATTCCCTCTATTTTGGCGCAAAAAAATTGAGTTCCGTGAAGCGCACTAACATCAATGTTTTTGCCCCTTTTTTTTTTTTTTTTCGCATGAAAAGGAGGAACTGTTCCTAGATATAGTCTAAGGATTGTAATCACCGAAAGCTATATAAAGGACTAAAGTGCGACGTAGGCTAAGAACATTTCATTTAACTGTACTCATGTTGGCAATTCGATCAGGCGTTAAGATGCAATACTGAACCTCTACAGGGATTGAGCCAATTCTCGCAATTGCAATTGTAATGTACTGGCCCCGGTTGTTCGAAGGGTGGAGAACGCTATCCACTGCGGGATAAATCTCTATCTGAGATAAAATGAATATATGAAGATCATATATTTGCGGTATTAGATACGTATGATGCACGATCCTCGCAGTAGATAGCGCTATTTAAGCAAAAGCGAAAATCAGACCTGAAAAAAATCAGGCCTGTACGGGACTCGAACCACTGACCTCTGCGATACTAGTGCAGCGCTCTACCAATTGAGCTAACAAGCCAACTGGGAGCAGGCCGTTAAGTTGATTCGTAATAAACCCGTGAAAGTGATAAATGAGATAGAATAAATATATGAAGTTCATATATTTTGAACTGCGGTATTAGATACGTATGATGCACGATCCTCGCAGTAGATAGCGCTATTTAAGCAANCTGATTTTTTTCAGGTCTGATTTTCGCTATTGCATAAATAGCGCTATCTACTGCGAGGATCGTGCATCATACGTATCTAATACCGCAGTTCAAAATATATGAACTTCATATATTTATTCTATCTCATTTATCACTTTCACGGGTTTATTACGAATCAACTTAACGGCCTGCTCCCAGTTGGCTTGTTAGCTCAATTGGTAGAGCGCTGCACTAGTATCGCAGAGGTCAGTGGTTCGAGTCCCGTACAGGCCTGATTTTTTTCAGGTCTGATTTTCGCTTTTGCTTAAATAGCGCTATCTACTGCGAGGATCGTGCATCATACGTATCTAATACCGCAGTTCAAAATATATGATCTTCATATATTCATTGTATCTCATTTATCACTTTCACGGGTTTATTACGAATCAACTTAACGGCCTGCTCCCAGTTGGCTTGTTAGCTCAATTGGTAGAGCGCTGCACTAGTATCGCAGAGGTCAGTGGTTCGAGTCCCGTACAGGCCTGATTTTTTTCAGGTCTGATTTTCGCTTTTGCTTAAATAGCGCTATCTACTGCGAGGATCGTGCATCATACGTATCTAATACCGCAGTTCAAAATATATGATCTTCATATATTCATTGTATCTCATTTATCACTTTCACGGAATTATTACGAATCAACTTAACGGCCTGCTCCCAGTTGGCTTGTTAGCTCAATTGGTAGAGCGCTGCACTAGTATCGCAGAGGTCAGTGGTTCGAGTCCCGTACAGGCCTGATTTTTTTCAGGTCTGATTTTCGCTTTTGCTTAAATAGCGCTATCTACTGCGAGGATCGTGCATCATACAAATCTCTATCTGTTGGATAGTGCATCACATTTTGTTAATCCTTATCGGCTAGATAGCGATTTATCCGTTGAATCAGAGTTATCCACCCTTCGAACAACCGGGCTCGGGCTTACATAACAAGCTGAGTTCTAGACACATTTTGATTGTGTGTTTGCTATGATTTAATGAAGGATGATTAACTCATACAGCGGACTTTTGTTTCGTTATCATTAGCCGGCAGAACCGGAGTGACCTTTTTGCGTTTTCAGGCGCTCACTGAAGTTAGCGCCTGTCTCCGTTCGCCTAAAACTGGCGCAAACACAACCTCGCTCCCAGGGCCTTTTCTCTTAGCTGGTGTAAGGGAAAAGGCCCTGGGAACGAGGTTGACGTAAACAAAAAAAAAAAAGGTCTGCTACAAAACAAATGGATTCCTTGTTGTTGTGGGTCTGTTAAGTACGAGATCTCAGATGACGTCATAATGTGCTAAGAGCATAAGTAACAAACCAGGCTGCACCTCGTGTGTAACTTTTATTTATCAAATAAATTCCTCTTTCGTAATAATACTACTAATTATAGATTGCGAAATAGTGAAATGAGGCTGGCTCTTCCGCAACCTCGTACCGATTATGTTCGTAAAAGTTTCTCTTATAGCGGTGCCGCGTTGTGGAATAACCTTCCGACTGATATTAGAGTATCTTAAACATTAGGTGCGTTTAAGACGAAGCCAAGTAACTTCAGTTTTGAGTGAACTAATGACACGGCGTCCCTGAAAGGCAGTAATTTTATTTTCATTTATTTTCATTCTAATAAGAAGTTAGTTCAGTTCGTTTAGATTAGGCTTTTAATCTTTGTATATATTTTATAATGACTATATGGTTTTAAGTTTTACATTTGTAGAGAATATTGCTTGTATACGACTGAGTGGAATTTAACGTGTCTAATTAAAGTGATCTATCTATCTATCTACCATGTTGGGACGTCATCTCATGTTAATCTTTTACTGATAAGACACATAGCAACACCTTTTTTTTTAATTTTGCGCTTTTGAATATTTTATAGAAAAGGCGCAATACAAATAATAAATGTTATTGTTGTTATTGTAATCATTATATATATTTTCCTCTTATAACAGGAAACGATACAACTTCCTTACCAAACTTGGCTGCGACAAGTTTAAAAAGTGAGCCAATTGTAGTTGATTTATACCTCTGAAATACGTAATATTGCAGCATGCATATGCAATTATCTGCTACATATCTTGAAAAATGTACTTGTTATGCAAGAGCTAAATTCAGAGTCTAGATAACTTCTATCCTTGGCTCATCCCTATTTTATCCCATTTAACTTTATTTTCGAAAAAAAAAAAAAAAAACTCGAAGAAAAGAAAGGAAGAAAGAAAGAAAGAAAGAAAGAAGGAAAGAAAGAAGATGAAGAACCGGTTATCATTTGTCCTGGTGGGGGGACAGAAGATTCTGGTTGTGTCAAGATAAAATCAGTTAACCTCGATTAACCTGATTCCCCCATAACGCTGTATCAGTTTTCTTTGATCCCTCTCTAATAATCCGACTGAGTACTCTTGTATCTAGATCTAAGTGGGTAAAAAAGGTTGCGCGTTTCGTCTCTGGCTGACCAATCACAGAAGGGCAGAGAAGCAAAATCAATAAAATTCCAAATTATTTTCGAAACTCAATCGAATAATGCACTCTGTGGACGTGGAATGATGGTAATAGAAATGTTCGTACATCAAAGTGTTCATGTCGTATTTGAAAAGCAAAATGTTACCTGTAAGGAAGTATCTCATCGAACGGATGTTCTCTCCAGGCCTTGCTCATAAAGAAACAGGCTCGGTTACCTTGCCTGTTGTTCGTTGACAACAAATGGCGTCTCGATCACCGTTTACCTTGCATTTACTAACTTGTATCAGTTTTATTCGAAAACCACATGTAGAAAATAGTTTTTAAGAATAATTACACCAGTATGGCTACTATGATCAACGGGCAGTTGATCCTGGAAGAGGAATATGATGAAAACTATCAACCGACAGAACAAGGTATAGTAAATTTAAACGTTGTTGTGTTTGTCTTGTTTACGTCTAAGTTCATTTAAGGTTTCAGTGATTGAAACAAGGCTTGGACCAGTTTTTGATTCCTGGGGCGCGGTAAAATTGACATCCAGAAACTGATAAATCAATTGGTAACATAAATTTAATACAGTGATCTGGCAATCGATGATGCATGATAGTAGCTGAAAATGTATGTTAATTGGCAGCCTGGCAGACAAATGCACTCTGATGCAGAAAACTTTAATCAGTTGTTAAAGTACTTAGGTTCGACGTTAAAAAAAAAAAAGCAAAGAAGAAAAGAGAAACAGTTAGCTGAAGAAGAAATTTCATTTTAAAAATTTCGCCTTCCCCAAAACGATTATGAAACAATAATCTGCCAAATGTACAGGGTTAGATGAATAACAAACTTACAAAATTGCACAGTGAAAGCGAACAAGTTATACAATCGAGTCGGGAAAAATTAAGCTTCTCAGGACTTTAATTTTCTTTGAATTATTGTAGTTAAGAAACAATTTTATCATCACTTTAAATTTCTTGTAAGTGACCATGTATTAAAGAATGGAGCTTTAATTAACTAAGCCCTTTTTTGTGGTAAACACTCTAACTTATCAATTTTGAAATCTTGTTGGTCTGAAGGAGTTAACGCTAATGTTTAAAAATAAACTGTCCATCTAGTGTCTGAGTCTGGAACTATCCTAGCTGTTGACTGAATTTTAAACAAGTCTGGTTTTTAGAGGTTGTGATATTTTTTTGAGCTTTGGTATATGTCTCTTGGTGAGCACTGAGGCCAACTGCACCAAAATTAATTTGTAACTTTTTCTCCAAATTTGCTTTGCAGAGATATTTGAGTATGCCCATTCAATAGGTATTGATCCTATAAAAGAAAGAGATCTTCTGTATATTGCAAGGGAAGGTATTGTTGCTCCTCTACCAGATGATTGGAAACCTTGGTATGTAGAACAAAACTTTTGTGGCCATTAAGCTGCTGAATATAGTAATACACACTGTTCATGTAACTGAGGCAAGTTGTTAGTTATAAATAAAATAAAGAACTCTTACCAAACAAATTCAAAGACAGTACTATTAGTTACAGACCCATTTTTTTCTGCTTGGATTTATGGCCAAAGTCCAAAATCTGAGTGAAAAAAAGGAGGGTCTGTAACAGAAAGTAAGGACCAAGAAAACAAGGTTAGCAAGATATTGATTATAATATCTCTGGGTTCAAATAGAGCGGGAAAGTTTCAGTTTGCAGGGCTTGACACTAACTTTTCAACCCTATACCAGCCAAGAAGCTGTTGACATCTTAGATGTTAGGAAAATTTCAGTTTGTTTTCTAGCCAAACTGGCGAGTGGAAATTGAAAACCACCAGCCAAAACTGAATTTCTACTAGTCTGTGGCTTAAGTGGGCTATCGTTAATGTTGAGCCCTGGGCGGTGTAATGAAATACGGCTAGCTTCTCTGAGCTACATTATGATTTTGTTATTATTTATTTTAACAAATGTATAGAAGACAAGCAGGAGAATTGATTTTGAGGTCTTAGGAATGAATGTGTTAAGGCAGCACTCTAAGCTGCGACCATTTTGGTCGCCATGGTGAGTGAAAAAAATATTTGGCGACTAAAATTCTGGTGAAAGTCGCCAGTTAGTGACCAAAAGATTAAAAGTCAGAGAAACTTACTTGAAAAATTATCAACAATAGGACGAATTTAATCAATAGTACAAGCGGTGGCATCACCTTTGTTTCTCTTTTTGCCTCTCATCGTTCAGAAACTTGACTGTGTAAAAAAATGGCAAATTTGATCGATTTGAAGGGGCAATTGGCAATGTTGCATGGTCTCAACAGCTTTGTAATGTTGAAATAAATCGATTTTGCTACTAGACAGTCTCTTCCTTTTCGTTCTCATACAGTAGCAAACCTAAGTGATAAAATGTGCCGTTCGGCGCATTAGCCAATAGTGTAATTTATCATGAAGTGTCCTCCCCTTCTGTTTTTTTTTGGGGGGGGGAAGGGTGCAACTAAATTTTTTTTATGGTGACCATTTTACAATTGAAGGTCGCCAAACGGCAACCTTCAATTGCCACCACTTGTACTATTGATTAAATTCGTCCTATTGTTGATAATTTTTTAAGTAAGTTTCTCTTTTAATCTTTTGGTCGCTAATTGACGACTTTCGCCAGAATTTTAGTCACCAAAAATTGAGCTTAGAGTGCTGTAAGGTGCAAGTCAGTAAGAAAAACTTTTTAGCGAGAGATCAAACTATTGATTCTCCCCTCTAGCTGCAACACATTTCTTTGTAAATTAGCTGCGAGATTTAGTGTAAGTTCAAGATAACAACTTCTACCAGATAAGATTGAGCATTCTCATCACCTATTTGCTGTACATTGTATGGATATTATAGGGAGAATCTACTTGTTAATCACCTTTTAGGAGTTAAAGGATTAACCATTTTATTATATAGATACTGATGAAATACCAGGATTTCTCCTTTTACTAAAAAATCATATCTTCACTGTGCGCAGTGAAGATACTATTTTTATCTTTCACGTGTGAGGATATTGGTTTGGCCATGGTTACCAACAAAATTACCCAATTACTGTTTCGAAAATAAATAAAAAACGCATGGTCACGAGTACAGACCTCACTGCATTTGGTCCGTACTGGCGACCTCGGTCAAGATTCTCCCATACAAACCTCCCGCTCGGTTAATAAGAACTAATTATGAGATTTAAATGGAATGATTGACAATTAAAGAAGCTTCTGATTGTCAGACATATTCTCCGTGTCAGTAGATAAGGAAATTTAAAGAAAACAGTGAGGAGAATTTGAAAACTAATGTTAGGGTGCAAAGGGTTACTGGTAATGACCTTTCCTTCTTTGGTGGATTATTTTTCAGTCAAGATGCCAATGGAGATATTTACTATTTTAACTTCCAAACGGGTGACAGTGTCTGGGATCACCCATGCGATGACTATTATAGAAACATGGTTACTGATGAAAGAAGAAGAAGAAGCAGTATGGGTGCATCAGCGAAAAAAGATAATAAAAAGAAGGATAAAAAGGATGGAGGCAAGAAAAATAAGCCACTTGAAGGATCTTTAAATAAACAGAAGGTAATCCCGTTTTTTATTCTTATTCTTATTATTATAATTTTACATGGAGTAATCTACTAGACAGTTGAAACAACATGGATTCAATGAATTGTGCATTTGAAAATTGTTTGACTCTTCATGAGGCCTAAGGTTGCAAGAAGAAGTTGACAAATCAACTGCAGTATATTAATCATTAATTGAATATTAGTTTACTTGTTTGATGATCAAAGAGGACAATGGTTGAAATTGTAGTGGAGGCTGTCAGATAATTACGTTTTGATGCAGAAAACTACAATCAGAAGCTCAAGTAGTAAGGAATTATAATGTTTTGTAAAATAATATTCCATGACGATAGCATTTTATTCCAGAAATCTCCCTTTCTCTAAGTGTTTTCATCCATCAAGCACTTTGGCTTTGAAATTCAATGATTACTTGACTCTGCAGGTAAAATGGTTAATAAAAATGAGCATTCTCATTTTAATTAACACCCAGGCTGCAGTTTAGAGACAATTTTTGGGCTCAACTTGTTATTAACTTTTACTGGGATTATCACGAATTTGTTAGACAGCTAATGCATGCTGTATGATTATGAATCTTTTCCGAGCTCCTCCTTAGGTGAACAAATTTTATTTTGATTTTCCCATTTCTTGGCTGTGCAGGTGTTTAGGAAAAGAATGAAAATCTCTGAGCCCTTTCTTGAATTTCAAGATATCTTTTAGCTATCATATCTAAGTTTTATTTTTATTGGAGAGTGATGTGTTTAATGTCCTCTTTAAGTCTCTTAGCCCTGGTTTGGCACCACTGAAAGGTGAAGGTTCCCTAGCTCCATTGAGAGATTCTTCTCCTGGTCGCTCATTGGGTGGTTCCCTTGGAGCAAGCACAGGGAGCACTTTAGGTAGGGGCTCCCTTGGAGGGGGCTCTCTTGGAGGGGGCTCTCTTGGAGGGGGGTCTTTTGGAAGAGGCTCTCTTGGAGGGGGCTCTCTTGAAGGAGGCTCCCTTGGAGGTTCTCTGGGAAAAAATCCCTTAGGTGGAGGCTCTAATGGTGGGCTTGGGACTAGTGGAAGGTTTTCAGGTGCAGATCGACATATGGATCCTTTTAAGCAGGCCCCTCTTGGTGGCGTTAAGGATTTACTAGGGGTAAGTTCAAGAATTTTGATATTCAACATCAGC